TTAATAATCAGAACATGGAATATATGAAGTATGAATCTAGGAATGTTGGAAGCTGTTAAAAGTGAAATGGAACACATAAAGATCAATGCCTTAGGCATCAGTGAGCTGAAATGGACTGGTACTAGCCATTTTGAATCATATAATCATATGGTCTACTATGCTGGGCATGACAAATTGAAGAGAAATGGTGTCACATTCATTGTCAAAAAGAACATTTCTAGATCTATCCTGAAGTACAATGCTGTCAATGATAGGATAATGTCCATATGTCTACAAGGAAAACCAATTAATACTACTATTATTCAAGTTTATGCACCATTCACTAAAGCCAAAGATGAAGAAATTGAAGATTTTTATCAACTTCTACAGTCTGAAATTGACCAAACATGCAGTCAAGATATATTGTTAATTACTGGTGACTGGAAGATGAAAATTGGAAACAAAGAAGAAGCACCAGTAGTTGGAAAATATGACGTTGGTGAAAGAAATGGCTGGAGATTGCATGACAGAATTTTGCAACATCAACGACTTATTCATTGCAAATACTTTTTTTTCAATAGCATAAATGGTGACTATACACATGAACCTTGCCATACAGAATTCAAATTGACTACATCAATTTGGCAAGAGGTGGCAAGAGGTGATGGAGAAGCTCAATATTATCAGTCAGAACAAGGCCAGGAGCTGACTTTGGAATAGGCCATCAGTTGCTCATGTGCAAGTTTAAATCGAAGCTGGAGACAATTAAAACAATTTCATAAGAACCAAAATATGACCTTGATTATATCTTACCTGAATTTAGAGACCATCTGAAGAAGAGATTTGATGCAATGAACATCAATGACTGAAGACCAGATGACTTGTGGGATGACATCAAGAACATCATATATGAAAAAAGCAAACAGTCATTAAAAAAGTAGGAAAGGAAGAAAAGACCAAAATGGATGTCAGAAGAGACTGAAACTTGCTTTTGAACAGAGAGCAGCAAATGTGAATGGAAGAAATGGTTAAATAAGAGAGCTGGACAGAAGATTTCAAAGGGCAACTTGAGAAGACAAAGTATTATAGTGAAATGTACAAAGACTTGGAATTAGAAACCAAAAGGGAAGAACACCTCTCAAGCTGAAAGAACTGAAGGAAAAACTCAAGCCTAGAGCTGCAATATTGAAGGATTCTATAGGCGAAATATTGAATGATGCAGAAACCATCAAAAGAACATGGAAGGAATACATAGAGTCACTGTACCAAAAAGAATTGGTCAATGTTCAACTATTTCAGAAAGTGGCATATGATCAAAACCAATGGTATTGAAGGAACATGTCAAAGCTGCACTGAAGGAATTGGTGAAAAACAGGGCTCTAGGAATTGATGGAATACCCA